TGCTAATGTTTTAGTGAGGAATTATTAATAATTTGTAATAAAATACAATCAACATACAAACAAAAACAACATGAAAGTAAAAATAACTGTATTTTTAAATATTTGTATACATTATTTATTAATTTTCATTTTCCAACGTATCACCGTCATCTTCTACATTGATAATAAATCAGGTAATTACACGAGAGACGTCTGAACGGTACGGAATGCAACGACGGACTAATTATGACTTGCATTGTAATCGCGGCCTAAGCGTCTTATCTGCAACTAATCACGTGGAAGCGCAAAATCTCAGTGCTTGGTTCATTCGGCGAACGCAGTATAGTAATATTATGAATTCAATAGGTACAAATGACCCACTCGAGCGAAACGAGGATACATTGCTACTACATAGCATAGATAAAGCTACAATCAGAGATATCTATGGAACAAACACAAATCTAATTCCTCTATACAAATGTAGCAGACGTGTGCATTTACTATAAAGGCAAAGAAGCGGAAATTGAATTTCTTAGAGATGCTTTTATGCAATCCACAGTCCATACAATCTCGAACGCAACGAAGCAGCTTACCTTACCTTATAGTTTATTTACAGAAGCGTTTATAGTATGCTAAAGGTTTTCCGCTAAATTAAATAGTTCAGTAGAATTTCAGTCGTTTCAACAGAAAATAACGTTTGTTGCATCTACATAATCTATGTAACATATAATAAAATTGTAACTAAGTCGAATCTGTACATTAAATATTTTTTTGGAAAATCTAATTGAAATAGACATTATTATCGATACAGAGGCCGAATCTATAGTTTTTAGAATTTTTGTCTGTCTGTCTGTCTGTCTGACTGTTTGACTGTTACCGCATCACGGAAAAACCACTGGAGGGATTTTGATGAAATTTGGTATGATGATAGCTGGTTATCCGGGTCAACATATAGGATACCATTTACCGCAGGAAAATATCTCATTTCTGAGAAAAACTGCATTGTAAGTGTATACTTATATGTAAAACCTAAGAATTTGGTTTTTGGTCATCTAAACGCGGGCGGTGCCGGTCATCCTATATGTTGACCCGGATAACCAGCTATCACCATACTAAATTTCATCAAAATCCCTTCAGTGGTTTTTCTGTGATGCGGTAACATACAGACAGACAAACAAAAATTCTAAAAACTATAGATTCGACCTCTGTATCGACAATAATGTCTATTTCAATAAGATTTTTCAAAAAATATTTAATGTACAGATTCGGCTTAGTTACAATTTTATTATATGTATAGATTATTGATCCATTGACGGACTGGTATTTTAAAAGATCAGCGCGTTCAAACAAACAAACTAAAATATACCTTTGCTTGCATTTATAATAAATTTTTTTCATATGTACCAACTTTAATATTTGTTACTTAAAGTTTAACTTATTGAGCAAAAAATCCTAATCGATATCTTTTGGAAATTATGTGATGTCTTACCTAACAGTAATTGCAGTTCTACGTTCTTTACAGTAAAAGAAAAACTCCTAGTAATACGGTAATAAAAAGGACAAATATATGTCAAGGACGCGACCCTAATCCCGTCAACAATCGGAGAACATCCGTAGTTGCTCTAATTCTAAGCAGCCTTGAAATGGAGCTGTAAATTTATTATAGATCAATATTACAATCTTGTTTCGCCTTCAATTTGATGCACTGGTCAGTATATTTATTGCACCGGAACTTGTGGATTTGATTTCCGCGGAAAACCATTTGTATTTAACTGTTTGTGGTCACGAATTGACCCTCGAATGTATTGAAAGTTAATTTTTTTAATAGATATTTATTTATACTAGACGTGTGACTCACCTCGCATTGTTCAGGTTTCTGCCTAGGTCTTTTAACGGTTAGTATAGAATAGATAGACTGTATATACATTTTATAGATTATATACATACTAGCAATACCCGCTGCTTCGCTCGCGCTAAAACTCCAAAAATAACTCTAAAAAGGTAGGTTTCATACAAACTTTCATCCCTCTATTTTATCCCCTTATGGGATGAATTTCGAAAAATGCTAAAAAACGTATTTGTTTAATTGTATTGGAAAGCATTAATACCAAGTTTCAAATAATTCTGATCATAAATATTTTTTTGGGTTGTATTATAATAATTTATAACGTGTTTTCCCATGGAAGGAGATAATTTCCCGCGGTAAAAAGTAGTCTATGTCACTCTACAGCCCTCCAACTAACTCCACACATAAAATCACGTCAATCCGTAACTCTGTTTCAACGTGAAAGAAGGACAGACAAACAAACAAACAAACATTCTTTCACATTTATAATATTAACACTTTCCGGGACAGACCGCCTCTCGACGTTAAATTGGCATCGTGTTATGTGACAGTACGGCTATGGGCGGCTACTTTTATTTTATTATATCTGACAAAGCGTCGATGGCCGTTGGTTATCCCTATCATTACTAGGAAGCACGTGATCTAGTGTCATATCACATGCCTCCGTTCGGTGATAGCTGTCACGGTAAACTCTATTCGAGTACTTTTTCCACACGCATATACGCAGTGGTTTCACACCCAACAAATACAGGTATACCGTCGAGAGGCGTAAACTCAGTCATACAAGTACAGTGATTTCGGAATTCAGTGTCACAGCGCGCGCACTGCCTGTTAATCTTTGCTATGTTGTACGTGTTTAGTGATTTTTGTCAACAAATGCAAGGTAAATAAAGTTTATTTATACTATAATATGATATAAATCTGATGGAAAATGTGTTGTGTTGTCCTATAGTGTTGTTTTTATTTAGGTAGGGATAGAAATATGTTATACAAGTGACAATAAAAGACTTTATTCGAATGATATTTACCTGCTATTTTAGCTACCTACTAACTGTTTGTATTATAAGTATTTACGTATTATATTTTGCAGATGTCGTCCAAGCCGGTTGGATGATTCTAGTTTGAATGATGACAACCCGGTAACAGAAGAGGAAATAGGTGAAAAGTCTTGCGATGACCAAGCTGTGATAGTATACCATGAAGAAGAGGATGTAATGGGCTCTCAGGAACCTCGCCTACATTCCCATGCCTTTGAATCATCTTATCTTCACCATCGAACCGAACAGATATACCCAAATCTCTCCTCTACATCTCCACGAATTGATCGTGCCGATCAAATGATCTCTTACTATTCATGTCCGAGAAAAAGAATAAGATGGTGCAAAAAAGTACTCTTTCACATATTAGATGTTGCGCCATGGAACTCTTTCTTTTTATTCAAAAAATGAATAAAGAATAGTGACAAGAAATACGGATATGTAGAGAACAGAGACAGGTTGATAAGAAGTCTTACGGAACTTGATGATATACATATAATGTTTCGAAAAATGGCACTAAACTCTTAGTTCTAACACACACAAATAGTTTCTCCTGTTTTCAAATATATTTCTTTACTTTATACTAAATAAGACTAAACAAGAATTTAAGGTACATATTGTTTAAGAATTTAGAAAAACATATTGTGATCAATAAACTTATAAGTATTAAATTTGTAGGTTTTTTTTAGAAGTTTACACAATAATACACCTTTTCAGATCTATATGATATGACACACCGTCTTTTGGCGGCACCGTCCCTAGCCGAACTGTCATAGTACATTGTACATAACTATTCATAATATGACGGTCCGCCTATAGGCGTTAACGTCTATGACCGTAATTGCCTTATCGCAAAACTAAAAAATAATGTAAATTGGCAATACGGCAATGGACGATATGTTCGAATGTATGGAAATTTTGAATGTCATATCGTGAGACTAAAAAAAATTTAAGTGTCCCGGAACGTGTTAAGTATGAAGTATGGATACACATAGGTATTACTTTTTTAAGGTTTAGCATAGATTGTTCAGAAAGATATTTTCCCGCAGTAAAAAGTATTCTATATGTTGACCCGAATAACCAGTTATCAGCATACCAAATTTAATCAAAATCTGTCCAGTGGTTTTCTCGTGATGCGGTCACAGACCGACCGACTCTGCAGCCCTCCAACTGACTCCACACAAAAAATCACGTCAATCCGTCGCTCTATTTCGACGTGAAAGAAAGACAAACAAACAAACAAACAAACAAACAAACAAACAAACAAACAAACGAACGAACGAACGATTTCCAAACAACCTTTGTTACTTCATAGAGTAAGAAATAGACAGCTGTTTTGGAATAAACAAAACTGTGTGTATCAAACAAAACACATTTTTTCATAAAATATTCAAAATACAAAGTAAGGTATGTGGCATAGGAAATATTGTACACAATCGTTTTTATATTAGTATCGTCTCACGCAATATTTCCATTTATTTCGTCGATGTCTGATATTGATTTTATTAACAAACTGCCTTCAACCTGATGACCGATTTTGGTTGAAAAATCTGAATACTTAGTTATTTACACAAGAAATTACGCACGAAGAAGTATATATATAGATTAAAAAGTTTAAAATATCGAAGTACACCCACGTAATACGTATAATAACTTTTGTTGTACTTTAAATATTTTTGAAAACTTTGAATTTGGAAGATACTAATAAATTGTCAAAAAGTTATGTTTATCTATAAAAAAGTTATGGCGAATGAGCTTTCTGGCAAAAAAATTAAAACATAACATTTTGACAAAACAAACTGACCAGTTTCAAAAAGTTTCAAATTCATCAAAACACGAAGCCATAGACGAAGACGAAGGGTAAGATAAATAAAATATTTTTAAACTTTATACATGTGGCCTGCTAAGTGTGAATATTGTGATAATTTTATTAACACAGAAGGCCCACTACATCCCTTAAAAACTTTTAAAGAACAAGTTCGATATAGGTACTCCACAAATATATGAAATATATATTTTTTTTTTGTTAAAAGATAATTATTTTTAACTGATGATTGGACTATGTGTGCTCGCATACTATAAGAATAATGTTATGAGTTTTACAAGTATGTTGAGTATCTAGAAGAAATCCGACTCACCTAGCGATGTTTATAGCGTCGACCCAGTGAGAGCAGTCCACTTCAGAGGCGGCGCGAAGCTCGTATTGTCGTTGAGTTTCTTTACGGTATGTTATTGTGAAGCAAAACTGCAGAGAAAATGTCGATTAAAACTCAAATATTTAGTCAAAACCGATTTAAAAATATTTTTATATTCATCTACACGTAACTATGAGAAAGAAGGCATGGATTATTTGATTTGTTACAACACAAGACTGAAGACAGACAGACATTACGTTGAAAATGTATCTTTGGATAAGATTTTCAATTTGTAGAAATAGGTACTCTATTTGGTACATTTTTCTTTTTTTTCTTTTGTAGAAGTTTATGTAATACAATGGTATGCAATGGCTATGAATAATAACTTTAAATCTTAATGAAACTAAAACTTACAGAATTTCTTTCCATCGGACCTTTGTTGAGCCTTTCCACGAAGGAGCCCTCCAGGAGGAGGACCCCAGTCGGCCTCGCGCTATTTTCCGATTCATAGTAGAATAAGATGTTCTGAGAGGAAAGAATTTTCAAGTTATTAAAATATAATTTAGCATATATATACATACATATACATGTACATGTATATGTACTAGCATCTCTAGGTACGTTTTACTTGTATGGAATAGATAGACTATATACATATTATATGACATATAGCCTTGTCGCGATTATACGCTACAGCCTATATCCTTTCTCAATAAACAGGCTATCTAATACAAAATGATTTTTTGAAATTAATCCTCCTGGTCCTGAGATTAGCGCGTTCAAACAAACAAACAAACAAACAACAAACAATGGATTCTCTGCCTCTTCATAATATTAGTATATGGCATTAAATATAATTTTATTTATAGGATATCTTTAACTAACCTGATAAAGTATGAACCAGCGCAACTGCCATTTTGAACTGTCAGAGCTTCTTTTGTGCAAATAACCGGCCTGGAAGAAAATAATAATTAAATACTAGTGATATCTGTGGTCGATAATAATCGACCATAACTCATTAAGTTTGAACTTTATTGGTAACTCTGCCGTTAATTGAGTATTGTCAATTTCCACTATCATTTTTAGTTCAAAATTTCCATGTCGGAAGCGTTCAAACAAATAACTATGTAGTCGTGCATTCGTTTGTAGTGTTCACTCAGTACACGTCATTAATTTGAGAGCCGTTTTTGCGGCATTATACTATTTATTATGTCCATGTTGATGAAAAAGATAAATGTAGTGAAAACAAGACACTAATCAATAAACAAATGACTGAATTTGAAAATAAAAATCCATATTTTTAAAATTAAAATTAATTTGAATTTAAAATTATTGCCGGCCATTCATAAATTACGTTTCGAATGGCTTGTATTGTTAAACGGCATCTTCGTAGGTAAAGACCTATTATAAGAAGTATTTTAAATGTATTATTTGAATAAAAATACGAGAAATAAATTAATTTTATACTTACACATAGAGAAAAATACAATATTTATTACTTAAGTCTATTAATTTTAATGAAGTTTAAGAACAGTGAAGCGATTATTTCATCAGACAGATTATTATAATATATGCATATAATAAAATTCAAACTAAGTCGAATCTGTACATTAAATATTTTTTGGAAAATCTAATTGAAATAAAGATTATTATCGATACAGAGTCCGAATCTATAGTTTTTAGAATTCTTGTCTGTCTGTCTGGGAACGCATCACGAGAAAAGCACCGAACAGTTTTTCATGAAATTTGGTATGACCATAGCTGGTTATCCGTGTCAACATATAGGATACTTTTTACTGCGGGAAAATATGTAATCTCTGAGAAATCTATATTAACAGTTACATACAATACAATCTATATTCTATACAATCTATTAAATACTAATACAATTTAAATATAATCTAATCAAATTGAAAAAGTCGAATTAAAATATTTACTTTCAATTGACAGAATTTGTGATGGCTAAATCTTACATGCTATTTTTGACTTTTAACTTAGAGAAAATAAATTTCATCCGAACTAAGCTTTGTAAATTTTAAACTACAGTTACTGAAGAGCAGTTAAAATAATCCCGACCTCGTTCCTCAAGGAAGAAAATTCGGAGACAAAGAGTTTCTAGCTTACCTTGTTTAAGCGTCCTCAAACTTTTGCTTTGTAAACTTTGCTCTGGATCAAAGTTTTCCGATACTATTCATTTGAAAAGGTTTGGAGACCTATTTATGTCACTTTTATTATTTATTATCAAAGATAGACCAGAGTTTAGAGTTTACCCTTAAAAGGTATTTTGTTCCGCAATTCGTTGTTTTAAATGTTAAACCGACTTCAGAAAATGACAAAGTACTATGTTCGCTTCTACTTTTACAGTATAGTAGCGACTCACCCTCGCTGCGCTCGGGTTCGTCCCTAGCTTGATACCCGATACAAACTTTCATTCCCATTTTCACCCCCTTAAGGGATGATTTCCGGGATAAAAAGTATTCTATGTCCTTTCCAAGGTCTCAAACTATCTTCTTACCAAATTTCATCTAAATCGATTCAGTAGATCCAGAGATTATTATAAAAGCGCTAGTTTAATATATATTTATTTTCAACTTAAAAGTTCGTTGCTTATTTTATTTTACACGCTAATTAGATTCTATCGATATTTGTATACTGTTTGAAAGTATTATATATTATTTTAAAACAGTATTGTTTGGCTTGATCTTTAGTTAGTAGACACAAGATCGCTTTCGAGATTCGAAAATCGGTTAATATTTGATTACAATAATAAAATAGACAAAAAGCCTATACCATAATTGATCTTTTAGGGAATTATCTTGTGATTAGTAGTTTAGTAGATTAGTTCCCGTTTCTGAAGTCGGTTAAAAAGCAAAATTCAACATGTTTAGTTATTCCTAAATACTTTACCTAAGTAAATTATAAAAGCAAGGACGCTAACGAAGAAATCACGGCTAAGTCTAGCGCTACTACATTGTCGTGTTAATCAAATTTAATTATATAACAACCTTTTGCATTAATTGAAATACTCGACGGCGTAAGAAAAGAAGGTCTACTCGGCAACTAATAACTGTTAATTGGATGAAAATTGTTACATAACGTATACAACAGGTTTCTGGATATCAGTAAGAAGAGAACTCTCCGAGACAAGGACAACTAAGATTTAAAAGAGATGCAGAATATAAAGATGTTGAAATAATAATATTACTAGCAGAACCTGCGGCTTCGCTCGCGCTAAAACTACAAAAAATCTCTAAAAAACTAGTTTCATACAAACTTTCATCCCCTATTTTACCTTTTAATTTGAAAATGATGAATTTCGAAAAATGCTAAAAAATGTTTTTATTTCATTTTATTGAAGAGAAATTTTTACCAAGTTTCAAGTAATTCTGATCATAAATATTTTTTTAATTGTATTATAACGTGTTTTACTGTAAGAATTAGATAATCTATCCCGGTCAAAAGTAGCCCATGTCAATCTCCAGTCCTCCAACTATCTCCACACAAAAAATCACGCCAATCCGTCACTCCGTTTCGACATGAAAGAAAGACAAACAAACCAACGAACAAACACACTTTTCCATTTATAATATTAGTATGGATGTACAGACGAGATGATCAACCATTAAATAAGTGACATATTTCACTATTTTGCATTGTCCAAAGCCCTGGTACAGTTAGCGACAGTGAAAGCTTAAAAACATATTGCATTTATTTATTTATTTATTTATTTATTTAGTGTTATTTAACATTTTAACTAAAACTATCTCATTAATTTTTTTGCGGATTTATTTTGATTTTTGAGTCTTTCCCGTGACCATGATTGCTGCAAAGCATTCGAAACGTCGGAAACCAAAAATCATTATACTATAGTATAAGCGAAAAAACCGAAAAAATAGTTTTATTTAAATAGCTTAAAAGTTAAAGTGTTAAATTATTAAATGTATGCATAACTAGGTATACAAAAACCTCAACACATGTCTCACAACATGATACGACCAATCGATCAGAACTATTTAAATTACCTTGTAACAATTCGAACGTTCTGGAAAGCTATCTAAAATAAATGACAATAATACTTTCTTAGATTTACACGAATATTTGACATTTTAAATAAAACTATTTTTTCCGATTATTTATTAATATTTTTGGTTCCCGACTTTTCGAATGCTTTCCAGCAATCATGATCACGAGAGAGACTTAGGTGTGAGATGTCTCAAAAGTACTTTAAATTTTTAAAAATTACAAAAATGTTTAAAATTAAAAAATATTGTAAGGTACTTTGGTGCCATTTTTCAATTTTTTGAATTCATTTTGTTATTTGTCTGTAACAACTGTATAATAACCTTTGAGACATCTAACACCTTGACCTGAGTCTCTCCCGTGACCATGATTGCTGTAAACCATTCGAAACGTCGGGAACCAAAAATCAAAATAAATCCGCGAAAAAATCCGAAAAGATAGTTTTATTTAGAAATGACAATAATGATATTTGAACTCCATACCTGTGTGTGATCGTACTGGGCTCGGTCAGATAGCGCGAGTAACTGCCCTTCGTTCACTCGGATGGAGCGCTGGATCTTCGGACTCAGCATGGTTTTCCTACAAAAAACAATAATAAATAAACAAGAAAAAATATATTATACATATTTTTTTTTTTGGTAAATATGAGAAATACGAGAAGACGGTGGGAGATTCGTTTTTCTTTTACTGATTAAATTAATTACTTAATATATATTTTTATTATAATATTTATTAGGAATTAAGAAATCAAATTATTTATATAGAACCGTTTATTTTAATAAGATTTTCTAAAAAAATATTTAATGTAAAGGTTCGGTTCAGTTACAATTTTATTATATGTATAGATAAATATGTTAATCAAAAAAAAACATGAAAATGATGTAGCATCAGTTGGTTTTACCTAGTAGTATATCTTTTATAGAGCAGTTATTCTTCCATAAAAGTAATCACACTATATTCAGATCTTCACTTTAATGCTGTTATTGAGTGATTCGTGTCAGATAGTTCTCTCTAATCCCGCTTTTATTCTATTACAATGATCATAGAGAATTAGATTCCATACCATCATGGTCAATATGTATAGCTATATTACTGGTTTGTTTGTATATTTCATATGATTATGTTTGCTTTTACTTGACCTGTTAATAAGACAATATTTGCAATAAATATTACCTATACATTAAATAATTATGGAAATAGCTTCATAACTAGTGAAGATATTACCGCAGATACAAAACGCCATGTTATTGAATAAATAAGTACATATATTCGGATATTAACACACTGCACCATGTAGTCCTATGCTAAGCTACGAGGCTTGTGTTATGGATACCAGATAGTTGATACACAACACATATACAACTTTAAATACATACATAATATAAACACCCATGACAGGAGTACAAACGTTCATGCTCATCACACAAATGAATGCCCCCAGTGGGACTTGAACCCACAACCGCTGGCACAGCAAGTAGGGTCACTATAAACTGAACCAAACATGTCGTCAAATTGTAATGCCTGTGGTATTAAAATAGATACCACAGTATTAAATAGCTTATAGTAAATTCCAAAGAACTGTTTCCCTATTTATAACCACTAATCCGCTAAAGGTTTGATCCGATTTTGCAATGGTTTTGCCAAAGGATATGAGTTCGGATATGAGTAATAGAGCACTGCATAGTGCATACTTTATCGTAACAACAAATCTACTTATACTAAGTAATTATGAATAACTAGCGTTCCCCGCGGCTCCACCCGCTTAAAGTCGTAGCGTTATGTTAGATACCAATAACTTTCCTCAATAAATACGGTACAAAATGCAAAAAGAATTTTGAAAACTGTTTATTCAAACAAACATACTAACGCTTCAGCTTTTTATGTTAATACGATTATAACAGTTAGTTTAAAATTTGAACCATCTCGCCTTTAACCAACTTGAATTTGCCGCGAGAGGGCACTAGGGTAGAACGAGGTATCTAGAAATGTCAAATGGTACTGAACGTTTACTGTTTGCGAGCTTTTTATCGCGGATTTTCACTAATATTCATGATTATTGTAATGATTGTGCCATTCCTGATTAATTATGGCAGACACAGTACGGCTTAATAAATCTTATTGGTTAAAAATAAGAGCTAATAAAAAGTCTATTATTATTTATATGCTTATGATTAATTATTTAAAATCCTGATAGGACTGTTTTCGCGCTAACAGTTATTATTATTATATTACAATTATTGGCCATGCTACACTAGCCAATACTTTTCAACAACAGCGATAGGACCTCACTCGCCAGTGGCGCCAACTGGTGTCACCAGAAACGATAGCCTTTAATATTTCAGCGAATGTCAAAATGTCATTATGAGAAAATCTATTAATATTGATGGTTCTCCAATCTCCATTCTACACGACATTGGCGAAGTAAATTATGCCCAAATGGCACGCCTATAAGCCACAGAACAAAGAACATTGAATATTGATGGTAAAGTGAAAACACATTACCATCAATACTAATTGCAAAGGTTTTTATTACCATTTTCATTTATAAACCATGAACATATTATATTAATGAATTAATGTAAAATAAGAAATATTTTTACCCAATTCACTCTATTAGCTCTGCCCTGACGGTCTCAGTTATGTATAAAATTATTATATTATTACTATATAAGCTTATACTACTATATAAGCCTCTGACCTCATAAATTTTTCATGAAAGACAACTCTCATGTAGTAATAATACTGGCCGCTTATTTATATAATATATGTATTAGAAACATAACTGTCATATGTATTTTATAATAGTCTCTAACACATGTTACGTAGTATTTTTAAAGATGAATAAAGCCTAATTTATACACAGGCAATCTTTCAATCCCAACACCTCGCTAACACAAATAATAACTTTTAGTAACTGGTTAGTTATCCACAGTGTAAATAAAAAGTTTTGCAAACTTATCCGCACTAATAAAACAATGTAAAATTTAGTATAACGAGTCAAAAGTTTTTGGCTTTTTATCAAAATTAATAAGAACCTACGTTAAAACAGGGATGAACTGTGATCTCTTTGTTACATAATATAGACCGATATCGACTGGATATATTGTAAGATTATGTTACACAAAATGTTTTATCAGGGGTGAGTTTTATTTTTAAACCCAAAATTATTTTGCATTATACTATATTTTGCCCCCGACTCTGCTCGCGTGAAAGTTATGTCAATGAAATGTAGCTTGTATATAGCCCAGGATAGGATAGGGTCTCCCCCAACGTACGTTCCACTTTGTCGTTGAAATATATTATTTACTAGCAGCTCACCCTTGCTTCGCTCGGGTTCGTCACTAGGTACGTTTTAAATAGATATAAATAGTTATTACCCAGCGATAGAAATATGATCATTTTCTTTCGTAAATTTTTCTGATGTTTAGTACTTATTATCCTATTCCGGACCCATTTTTTCCGGATTTTTTTCCGGAAATCCAAAAAATCAAATATCATAAAAATTGGTTCAGCCGTTCTTGAGTTAGGAATGGTGTGACTCCCCCCCAACGTGCGTTCACCTTGTCGTGGTGGGGGGGCTCAGTAGTAGTAGCGAAGCTAAGAAACGCACAGGGAGGTTGCCCACTTCGGTGGGCGGTGGGAGGTGGCCCTCTTCGGGGGGCGGTGTACCTTGCGGGTTGCTCCTGGTACTTCTCTGATAGCAGAGTGGACCTTGGAGCAACCCCATGGTTGTGGTGGTCTGCTTTGGCAGACCTGCCGTCGGGGCGTCGTAGTTGAATGCGTAAGCGATCCTGCGACGCCCCATTATGACGGGGGAAGGTTTTAGTGGGTAGTACTGGCTGTATTACGCCGGTGAGTCCCACACGTCGTGCGTAAATGCATTTCCCAACGTTAAAAAAAAAAAAAAAAAAGGAATGGTGTGACTAATACGACTTTGTTTTATATATATATATATATATATATATATATATATATATATATATATATATAAGGTGTATATATGTATACACACCTATTTTATATTTTTTCTCTGTATTAAAACTTTCCGTGTACTATAAGGAATATACGAAAAATAAATCAGCTCAACTGGTCTAGCCGTTCTCGAGTTTTGCGCTTAGCAACATTCATTTTTATTTATTTTTATAGATTAAATATGTGCAAAAAAATAAAAAACCATTATTGTAAGGGACCTTACGAGTCTAAGACGATCTTACAAGTAAGTACGCAGTTTGAAATAACAAATTGGCTCCAAGATCTCGAAGCAAATCTACACTCACGAGTAACATTCATAGAAAAAAAATACCGGCCAAGGCATAATCTTCTTGGAAGTCCGTTGAAAAAAATTATGGTTAATGCTTATTCCTATATGACATTTGGCTTTAATATACTTTTATTTTAATTTAACAATAGTAAACATTAAAAAAAGTACACGGAAGAAGCAAAGATGGATCGCTAGTCTATCATACATCAAATAGTATTAATTCAATCAAAGTTAACAATGTTTACAGTATTTACGATCAACTCAGCATTCCGTAGTGCGACCACGTGTAATGTAAAAATATTTCTAACTGATAAAAAAATATATTTCGAATAAAATAGAATTATGCGTACTAGCGGTCTGTACCGGCATCGCCATTTATGTCTATTTTGATTTTGATTTAAATAAAGGTTAAAAACATTATTATTCATATAAACATTGCATCTCATTCTTCACTCTTTAGAGTGACTTCACTCTCTATCTGTTAAGATAGTAATTAAAAAATTACTATCTTAACAGATATTATAGAAGAAGGTTTTATGCAAACCAGTACAAGAATACTTTATGAAGTGTTGGCAATCTATACATTGTAACATGAATAGATTTATCGTATTACATTAAAATTCGAATTCTGAGAGTGGTGAATTTTGTTAAGTCTTGATGTCGCTATATAGGCTTAAAGGACTTAAGAGAAATTCGAAAAAGGGTAGCTTAAATTATGAATTTACATATTGATTATTTTTTTACAGCATGCAGAGTCGCAGGTTATAATCAGTAGGTACTTAATATTGAAAATAACTAATTCTAAATATTATTTAGATACTTAATAAAATATTTGTTAACAGCTTTATTATATAAATTGATGTACCTAATAGCGTAGTACGAAAGACAATTTATGCCAACTACAAATAAATATTAACTTAGATACTTACATTTATGCTACTTCAGAGCGCTTATCTTCAACCACAATATTTTCACGTGTCATTTTCACTTTACCCGTTCATAATTGATTTTGTTCAATCAAAATAAAATATTTACACGTAGTTTACAGATAAACTATTAATATTATATTAAAGAGTTTATTATAGTAAATAGACATTAGAAACATTAACAACAGTATAGAAAAAGGACAACTTTAAAATACAGCTTCAAAGATTTAGTGAAATAAGTTCAAGGCGTGAATAATAGCGCCTGTTGAATTTGTAAATGCAACTAGTGGATTAATAAGTTTGCTATTTTATTTTTGAGGCGTTTGTTACAATAATATAGATTTAAAGCGTTTTATAGAGTTAAATATACCGCGTCAGTCTGTCG